CGGAAAAGCAGGTCGTGCTGAAAATACCTGGCTGTGTAGTCCTCTAAGTCTAGGACATCTGCGTTACTCTCTTCTTGTGCCTTAGCCGCTGCCACTACTACTCAGCAGTTTTTCTGTGCACCGTGCCAAGGAAGCAGGGTAAGAGGAGACAGTAAACATACCTTATTGCCGGTACAGGAAGAAACCACTAAAACCTTGCTGCACCGTTTCTCGCTGCTGTTACAACCTTCCCTCCCACCTTGCTTTTGACAGAATATTGACTAGAAACCAAGATCCCATTTCTGCTTAGCCTTAAGGGCAGCTGTTTACAGAGTGGTGGTGTTACATAGGTTTACTGTGTCGTATGTCTGTGTAACACTGGATTTGGATCTTGTATTTAGCTGCCAGAAGTGACTGTGATGAAGTGGGAGAGATAAACTGATAGATTGTGTGCCAGAAAGATGTTGGGAATCAATCAGATAAACAGGGCAGAGAAGTAGCTTGCTGTTTTCGAGTGATAATAGACCAGTGGCCTCTCTTCCCAGAATTTTTAAAAGTAATTGCTGCAGTAATAATCTCCAAAAATAAGCAAACAGGAAAAAGAGTTATGGCAGGTTTTTAATTATGCTTGAATCGCTCTCTTTTTTTATTGTAATGTGATGTTTGCCTTGAAGGAGGGGAAAGGTGTGGACAGGTATAAATATTATCTATGTTGCTCGAGTGTCACTTTAAAATAAAAAAAGGTCATAAAATGATACCCATCTACCTTTATGACATCTTTCTTTTGTAGGGTGCATGCCTTTTCCCTCCCTCACTCCAGCAGTGTACTTAAGTGATCAGAAGCTGGGGTGTCAGTGATTTTCTCACTTGATTAACCACTGCAGTCCTACTTCAGCAAAAGTATAGGGTGGAGGAAAAACATCTTTCATCCTTTTTTCTCTAGCATCTTTGTGGAATTCACTGGTCCTTCTCATTTCCCCGTGGGTCTGTTTCAGGTCCTTTCCGAGCTGAGGCAGAAACTTTACTAGGCAGTGAAATGTCAGCACTAGAAAGCAGCCTGTGCCCCCCAGTTTTGGAGGGTTTATTTCTGTTCTTGGTGTTAATATGTTGGCTAATACCCAAGGCACAGCATGTACAATATACAGGGAGGGGTGATAAACATACAGCACCAGTCAAGTATCCAAAAAGGCTGTTGACAAAATTCTTTGGCTGCAGGAAACAAAAAGGACAAAACCCAACCCTCAGGACATGAAAAGAAATAGA